GCGTTGGATGCACTTGGTTGGACATATGTCGGGGATGGAATTTTTATGGACATCGTTGGCAGAGTGTTTCATGTGTGTTTGACTCCAGTCCAACATGTCCAGGCTCTTCTCCTTTCTACTTGGACGGTAAAGGTGGCATCACAGGTCAGGCACCGGAAATACCTTTCGGACTTTGAGAACGTCTGTGTGCCTCTTTCACAGATGACCAGACACCTGCTGCCCTTCGAAAAGGCATTGGTGTTGCAGCAGCAGGTTGGGGCCTTCTTCTCTGGTGAGTTTACCAAGCACATTGACGAACAGGCAGCTACCTGTCGGTATTGTGGCGAGTCTGACTCCCGGATACACCGTCTGAGGTGGTGTCCGCGCGCTGCGGCATGGCGTGCAGTTTTTCCAACCTTGATGCAGCAATGGGATGAGCTGCCTGACTACACTATACTGTGTTTGGACTTATCTCCGAGCTTGACGGGTGGCGTGAGTGGCAGGCTTGGCTTGACACGTTTTCCCTCCCTGAACCTTGTAGATCTGACTCCCCCGAGATCCAGGTTTTTTACACGGATCGGGCATGTCTTTTCCCGCGACACTCGGTTGTTCGCGCCACTTCAGGTGCCGCCCTCAGGGCGCATGCAGATGGTACTTTTTTCAGGTCATTTGGCATGGGATCCTTCCGGGGTCATGTCAAACCATTTTTCGTGCGGAACTATTGGCGGTTTCGTGCGCCCTTATAGGGTCTGTGTGACGGGCAATCGTTTACACGGACTCCCAGTCGGTCTGCCGTATTGCAACTGGAATCCTGGCGCAACTCAGGGACGGTCTTTCTCCAGGTCTGCCGTCTGACAACAGGGATCTTTGTGCGTTCTTTCTTTCCATGGCCCGGGGTGCTGATTTGGACATTGTCCGAGTTAGGTGGATCAAGGGGCATGTCAATTATCGTACCGCCGTTGGTATGGATAAGGTTCATGCCTGGTTCAACCACTGGGCGGACCTTGCTGCTGTGCAGGCTCTGGGCGGTCACTTCACGCCGTTGTTCCAGCACATGGTAAAGGACTTTCGTCGCAAGCTGGTGTTGGCAAAGGACTTGTTTTCTTTCCAGGCAGGAGTGGCTATATGCTCTTTGCCAACGATAGGGATGCCCCTGTTGTGCGCCAACCTGTTAAGTTTGAGTCTGTTTGCCTTGTAGTTAAGATCCACCTTGACGTTCGGGGACGACATTCACCCGGTTGTTTGTCACCAAGGCTTTGCACGTTCTTTGATCAATTGGATGCGGGAGATCCGTTGGACCCCTGCTGCCGTCACTGACAGTTTGGGTCCTCTTCAAGACACATCTTTTTTGTACTATCATGAGTGGGTTTGGGTTCAGGATGACCCTAAATTGGAGTTCGCAATTCCATCGTTCGCGACGATGTTCCGGACCCTTTGATGCTATCCTAAGGTCGGGCGTTGCGGTCCCCTGGTCCCGATGCCTGTCCAAGGTCAAGGCGGTTCGCACGTTTGGTGCGCGTTTTGACTGTCCCGGTTTCAATGGGCGTGTTCACCTGCGTTTGGAAGCCCTGCAGGACCTTTCCGCACAATGTGCTTTTTCCCCGCGCCTATCTTCGATGCGGGTGCCTGCATGTAATTAGTTTTCTGCAACGGTCCACACGCTCACGAAACACTCGTCGGCGTGCGCACCGGTCTCACACGCGTGCGTGACTATGAGACGAATGTCCGAGAAGTGTAGATTTTAAAACAACATTGAACTGCTGCAACGCTTGTATATATAGTAGAACCTAAAGTCAGGCCTTCCTAGCTAAAGGCAACCTTACCCACCAGCCTGTTGGGCAATGAATCCACATTTTCTTTGATGGTGAAGTCCCCATGTGTTGAGGCAATCAGTTTGCCGAGTTGCCAACTGCCTTTGGGCACCCTGGCAGCAAAAAAGTGGGCGTTCCTAGCCCTGTCATATTTGTAGAACGTGGTAAACCCAAAAATGATGTTAAATGAGTTTTAGACGGTTTCGACAAGAACTAAAAACCTAAAATTAGGGATGGATGGTATGGAGAGCCTCAAATCCAAAATCCATCCCAAAAATGGCTACATGCAATATTTAAAAGCAATGATGTCTTTGGTGGCTGCGCTTAGGTTTCATGGTCAGTTTCATCTGGGTAAATGGATCACAGTTGCGGTAATGACACCGCTGATTTAATTGAGACCCCCGCTTGGATGCTTGGTTCTGTGGTGAACCCAATAAAACTTTTTACGACCCGATTGTGATCTTCTTGGGGGTAGCATCGGTATTCCTGCATGATTCCTAATATCTCTCTCTGGCAGAATCGGATCCGAGAGCTGTAGATTGATGTGACGAGGATTTTCTGAGCAAACAGTGGCTGGGAATGTGCTTGGTGAATGAACTCTCCTAAAGTAGGGGATCTTCTAGTAGTGTGTTCGTTCGTGTCCCTTGATTGTTATCATTGTTTTTTTTGCAGAATTCCAGTCTTTTCATGAATTTCATGGAACATTCCCATATATGTTTGCTCTAGGTCAATCAACTTGAACTTGAGTCTTTATTCAATCATCATCAATCATCCAAAACCTCCAGTTTTCTTAGTGAACCCCAGATCTTTGTTGGTCAAAATCTCCATGGATTTTCAACCCAACGTGTGCTGCGAGGCCTCAACGCTTTGCGGGTGCCAGTGTCCTGTCTATTGGGAATTTATGAGGGTTGAAGCATCAAGAAAAGGGTGGTTTACCCTCTTGTAAACAAACATAGCTTTGGAAAATCACCATGTATAATAGGGAAATCAACTCTAACTAGGGCCATTTTCAATAGCTATATAGGCTAATTATATTGGTTTACGGGAGGGTAACGGTTTCACTATCTGTCCCATGGTCAAGTTACAGGGATCATTTGCCCATCACTTCGGGATTGGCCATCAATCCATTCTCACGGGGTTTTAGATTAATCCATGATGTTTGGAATCCCGATATGAGAGCCATGTACCGATATACCGATGAACCATGTTTTGACCCCAGGACATTAGGAGGAAGCGATTTTCGGAGCTCTGGGTATCCATATTTTTCATGAGGAGCAACGAATGGAGCAACGAATGAAGGTTACGAAAACCACATGATCAAACATCTGGATCCAACAAACATTGGTCCGACAAGGAAGCATTTTAAAAGGGCAAACTCCAATTCTATAGTAGTAGTGGATAGTAGTGGTATAAATCTGTTCCTGCATCTTTTGGGCTTTGTTATCAATGTTCATTCCTCTGAATTCCAACGATCTCACTGGCCGAAGTCAAGGTAAATGAGGGTCAGGGTTAGGGGAATCATCCTCGATGGCGAACATTTTAACTTACCGGATTTATGTTTAAACATGTTTAAACAGACAATTTAGGGTTTACCCAAGAAATTGTGTGTGGGGTGTGTGCAAAAATGTAGGATTTACCAAAGTTACAACCATTTTTTTACTGGGAAAATGGATGAGGTTTTCAACCACTGGATTTAGCCATAAAATGACCATCCCCCACTGGTTGGTGCCATATTCGGGGATTTACCTCTTTGAACACCACCAACAAGATAAATGGAGGTATCAATCTTCAAAAAAGTCAAAACATTTTTTGAACCCTGAAGGATAGTTTGATGCTTTGGAGGGTATACTAAGCTATAGTAAGTGGTTCAATGGGGATTGTGGACTGATCGGAAATGGGAGCCCTTGTCAACCAGTAGAAATGAACATTATCAAATTATTCTTGTGTGAAACCCAAATGGGTAAACCCAAAAATGGTTATGTAGTGTGTAGTGTATTGCCTTTTGAATCTACAACCAATGGATGTCCATCCCGAACTGATGAGTGAACATATTGCCCGGTTATTACCCTATGGATCCTCAGCCTTACCTTCTAAGGCAAAATGAATGAGTTAGGATTAAACAGGTCAATTGGAACTTTGATTGTTGTTGAAAGGTGATGAGGTCTTTCATGCTGTGATCCACAGACGCCCAAGCCCCTTTTTTATGTCAGGGGAACAAGCAATCTCACAGCCTTGAAGTAATGGCAACAGAAATGGTTCAATTCTGCTGGACTTGTTCTAATCCTGGCTTTTTGTTTTGTTACATCATGTATAAACCTTAATAAACCTTAAATCAGCTGTGGAACTGGTTCTAATCCCACCACCCCGCTGGCACTGAGGAAAAGGTGGCAAGGGAAAGTGACGGACGCGCTCCGCACTGGTCCACGCGGCGAAAAGGATGTCACGCTCCGCAGGTTGTGGTCGGCAAATCCAGAAAAACCCTCCACCTTTTTTGGGGCTTCAAGGTTCAGATTGGCTTGTTTACCCAGTTGTTTTTCGTGTTTAGTGTGATTTTTCTCGGATCAACATCCTATGCAGGAATCCAGAACCAAGCTGACTCTTGCTTGAAATCTGCTGAGTCGGTCATTGGCATGGCATGGCATGGCAGTCTTGGGATGGTCTAATATGATTTCGCAGGTTTTTGCTGTCCAAGTTTTTTGGGAGGGGTTGAGTTGGTTTTCCTTGCGATGTTTGGGCAACCTTTTTTTTTTAATCTTGGCTCATTGCCACTTTTGCGCGTCAGAGAGTGTGCTTCATTTCCTTTTCAGTTGCCTTTCTTTCGCGTTCCACGGCCCAAGCTTTCTGAGATTCTAAACTTGCCCCAAAAGCTGGATACATCAATTTGCCAGTTGAGAATAGGTATATAACAATTTTCCATTTGGCAGTGGGTTTAGGCGTAGACAAATTTCTGGAAAATCCAAGTGTTTTATGGGTATTCACATACTGTATCTGTTTGGAAAGCCATCGCAACTCAGGGTGTGACGGAGCAGCTTCAGTGAAACGTGCAATGAAATTTGGACACAGCAATATGAAAAAGACAGTAAGACAGCATACGAACCTCTACAATTACCCATACAAAAATTGTGGGAGTTCGGGGATTTCCCACAGGGTAACATATTCTCATCTCTTTCCCAGCAACTTTCTATGGTACCAGCCATGCCACCCAAACGCATGGCTGCTTCCTTCCGCAGCCGGCGGAGTGTACACCGCGCACTGGCGATGGTGATTTTGATGTTCGGTGCGCTGGCGGATACTTGGACGACGCAGTGGATGGATGGGGTTGGTTTTGGATCGCGACGATCATTCCAAAATGGTGAAATGTTTGGCATGCTGATACCCCATGTCACCATGACTATCTATCTAAGATATCTAAGATATCTAAGATGTCTAAGCTAATCTATCTATCTATCTATCTATCTATCGATCTATCGATCTATCTATCTATCTATCTATCTATCTAGTCTATCTAGTCTATCTAGTCTATCTAGTCTATCTAGTCTATCTAGTCTATCTATCTATCTATCTATCTAGTCTATCTAGTCTATCTAGTCTATCTAGTCTATCTATCTATCTATCTATCTAACTTTTTGCCAGTTTGATGATGTGTATTACACATATATAGTTATACAATGTTTTACCTACACATCCATATACAAGCCAACCAGATAAAAATTCCTTTCCGAATGCAGGGTATCTAAGATTTGTCGGGCTCTATGGGGCTGAGTTTTTTTTCCACAGTTTCACTTCTTCATCTCTGTTCTTGACCACTTTTGGTGGCTAAATGTGGCTAAGGCAATTTCAAAGATTTGAAGGGGACGATGAAAAACGCAAACAAAACTACCATTTCCGTGCTGATGTTCTCCCGCTCGTGAGGCCACCCTCAGCTTTGCGGGGCCGGAGAGCGCAGGTGGATTGGGACCGTGGTAAACAGAATTTTTGTTGATTTTCATCATCCGATGGTTGGTTAGAGGGTTTTAATATTTATTCATACTGGTTTTTTGAATGTTTGTTACCATCCGTTTTTGCGGCTCCAATGATTTTTGACCCATTGCCACATGAAGAAATTCCCTGTATCTATCCCTACGTGGGACCTATGACACTTTGGAAGAGTGATGATTCATCAGATATTTTGAAGTTAGAGTTCCAGGGTTTTGATCATGATCCATAGCCCATAGCATCCAATTGGCCATACGCTTTTCTAGAAGTTTCGAAAAAAATCTGCTAAGAAGATCACATTTTGTTGGTAGCTTCCAGACCTGGATATCAGAGCGTTGTCCAACCAAAATGGTGCTACAAGTTACTGCAAGCTACAAAGTTAGGGATTTAAGCAGATGAACCAGATATTGGATTATAAATTTATAAATGGTATCTAGTCCTATCCCCCCCGTCTAGTCTCCCTCAATGGGACCCCTTTTTTCATAGATCCACCTCGACATCGCTAGGCTTTGGTCGGTCTCCAAGTCGTAGCGGCAAAAAGGTGGGAGATTTCCACAGTCATTGGGGGTAGCCTCATTTCAGGAAACCTCCACATACTGTATATGTATATAGTATGTATATATATATATATACATACACATAATTATATATATATATATATACAGTATATATATATATACAGTATATATATATATACATATACATACATATATTCGATGAACTTTTGGGAGAAAATGCGCCAAATCCAGCACCTTCTCAGGAAGTGGTTGGATCCATAGCGCAAGATAAGTTTGTCTCATTTTACCTCCTGTTGTACCTTAGTATGTCCATCCAAGATCAAAATCATAAGAAATCAGCACTTCAGCAAATCTCACTATCCACATAGCCAACCATAGCACGTATATCTTCATGAAAATAGATAATTTATGTAGTTCCATGATTTACCTACTGAATATCGCCCTTTTTGTCATGGCTTTAGCCCATGAGAATTCCCTGAGATCGGCAGGAACGGTGCGAACCTTCGGTGCGAAGCTTCGCTGCCAAAGCAGAGCTCTTAGAGGCGATCCACACGTTTCAGGCGCGAAAGTAGCCTCTGGTTCTTGGGGCATCATTGGATGGTTATAATATGATTAATATGGTGGTCCAAACATGGTTTTAATATGATTAATATGGTGAATATGGTTATAATATGGGGGTCAAAAGCTATGAATGTATGGAATTTCAGATGAGATGAACATGAATTTAACAGCTATGAGATGGGCTTACCAGAGTTACCAGGGTTTTGACCGCCAACGCCGGCGTTGGAATGCCCTCTGGTTATTTAACGGTTAGCTATAGGGTAAAACATGATTTTGAGTGGCTAAAAAATATCATAAATCATCGAACTAATTTAAATGGGCCATTGCTTTCACAGCAAACTGCTAAACACCCTGACAGGTATGTAAACAACTCATAAGACTCATAAGACTCATAAGACTCATGGTGATATCTCCATTGCATCAGAGATATTTGACACCATGAAAATGGAGCGATGTCAGAGATCACTTTAACTGTTGAGAATGTGGAGATGTTTCGTGATGGAGATACAATTATAGGTTATAAGCCATTTCAATACGTACATTCATTTCATGGGATATGGGAAGAATACATTTCATATCGTTTCATGGTATATTTTGGAATATGTAACAATCAACATCGATCAACACTGGGAAATGGCTGATCATCTTCGACCGCCTGAGGAGGAGCTCAACCGAACATCCAACCTGAGTATTGACTTTGGTGTGAAAGGCTGGAGAGTCTTTTGCGGGGATCTATCTTTTTCCCTGGGATTCTTCAAAAGATAGACTAGGTAAGACAAAATCTACTAAATAGATCTAAATAGCACCATGAAAATAGCAGGGGTGAGTATTTTCTTCGATTTTTTGGGACATGATGCGGTTGCACCGTCTCGGGGTGACCTTTTTGAATCAATGGGTTTCACCTGAGTATATGTAAATATAAATATATATATATACACAAATAGTTATATATAGTTAAATATGTATATATATATGTAAATATAGTATATATATATATATGTATATATATATATGTATATGTATTTATAATATATAATATATATACATATTAATGAAGCACATCATAATGGAGACACATTGGACATGTAGATAGGCATTTCTATCCCAGTCATTGATAGGATGCTTCACAGGGTTACTCCTGAACCAAGCTCACAGAATAATTGATATGGACCTCAGTGATTGAATACCAACTTTAGAGGAACGCCCTAGAATTTTGATCGGAAACGGTAGACATTTCGGTTCCTCTGAAACTGGGACCGCTTGGCTTGGGCCATGCCGGCCATGCCGGCCATGCCGGCCATGCCCGTGGTTTCGGTGGCTCACATGGACAAGACGGTGCAAGCCGTGGTGCTTGGTACTGGATGTGGCTTGGTGTTTCACTGGGCAGGCATATTTTGCCATGAAGTTTCCTGTAACATTTCCATGATATAAGCAATTTCTATCAATTTCTGGGATCTTATATTTTTCAAAATTCGAGAGAGGGAAGTACACTTTGTGGCAATTCTTGGGAGTGGCCATCTCATTTTTTGGGTACAAAATTTGGCCCCCTACTGTCTGGTGGGGCCTGAAAACTGGGGCCCTCGCAGAGGTCATCCCAAGGGGCATGGGAAAATCCTCCAGAAACGGATCCATTTGTAGTGAAACTTGCGGGTCAATTTTCTTTTTTTTCATGGCAATGTTGGATTACTGGAGGGTCTGGTGGTTGTCGAGATATTTCTTCCGGAGGTTTGGTGGCCTCTGCCGCTGCCTTGAAGTATTACCTGAACGAGCGCACGCCAAAGGGTTGCGCAAAGGTGCGCGGCAGTGGATGGCTTGGAGTACTGGGAGCTCTACCGGAGATGTGGAAGTGCATCTTGAAGTATGAAGCACATAGCCACTGGGCGTAGGCAACTGGCATGAACCAAACATAACCAAACTTCATAGCAAGGCTGGGAAACCCCAGCGCTTGGGCATTGGGGAAAAAAGGAAACCCTAAAAATGGGGGATTTTCCATGTTTGATTACCAGAGCGTAGCCCAGTTCTTGGCTCATCCATTGAAACTGGTGTCAAACCACCACGGCAGTTGACATGTTGACATTGATCCATGTATATAGTACATGGGTTTGTTTGAAACTAGGTGGCTTATCAACATTTTCCTAAGAACATCTAAGAATTAGAAACTTGCCGTACATTCGACTATCCCGCCGATTTTTGCGGAAACCCAGCAATTTGTGCAAAAAGAAATGGCAAGGAAGTACTGTGTTCTTAGTGCCAGCGAGCACTGAAACCAAGGTGAACTGGTGAAGTACCATGAAGATTTCGGAAATACCCTTGACTTCGACTTTGGTATTTTGCAGCTCTTTCTTGCACCTATGATCATTACCCGCGATCCTCAAAATGTGCCGCTTGGACACGCTTGGCACTCTTCAGTGATTGTGGAACAAGCAGGTCCTCAGAAAAGATGGAAATGTCGGGGAAAAGGCTTAAGTATTGTTGTTTTTATTTCCTTTGATTGGCTTTTAGATCTTTTGGGGGACCTGATGCAGACTGCTTGGAATGGACCCTGCGTCGCACTGGTTTGTTTTGTTTCAATCTACAATGTGAAACCCAGATCGAGTAAGAAACCACTCAGAGTTATTAAATTTCGCAGCTGTACCATGTTGATAAATGGGGATGGGTCAAAACCCTGGTACCTGGTGAACCCCAAAATAGTTGGTAAATGGATGTTCATCCCACTAAAAATGGTATTAATAGGTATTGACCCATACCCAAATCTATTTGTCCCTTTTCTGGGAATCGCGATGACTAGTGCCCGGAATCGGGGTTGCCCTTCCGGGTTGGTACTCACCCCTTCTGTGGCCGAATGTTTGTTCCCTTCAACAAACTACTGTAACACTTTATGTATTTAATGATAATATTACTAATATATAATAATTCATATTAATAATAATAATGATAATAATAATAATGATAATAATAATAATGATGATAATAATAATGATAATAAAAATAATTATATATATATATTAATATTGTATTTTGACCTATTTTGGATCTGTGTCCAAACTTGGGGGGACGGGCCCCAAGATGGACGAACAGACAGCCAGCGAGCCAGGCAGGCAGACAGACAGAGCATCTTCTATCTATCTGTCCATCTCTATATGGTCCAACTGACAATAGAGCATTGGTTGATAATATGTTTGAGACTTTTTGCTGCATTTCCAAGGAAATTTATGCTCAAGACCAAGTTTGAAAACTTCGAGAAGGGAGAAACCTTCCACGCCATCGGACACGATGTCTTAGGCGCGGATCTGGCAGTCCCCCAATTATCCTGGTGACGTTCCGAAACTAGGGGTATCCAGGTAACATCATCCAAAATTAGATACTACGAGGTACTATTATACACTATTATATATATACTATTATATACTTATACTATTATAATTATATACTATTATATACTTATACTATTATAATTATATACTATTATATACTTATACTATTATATACTTATACTATTATATGCTATTATATACTTATACTATTATATACTATTATATACTATTATATACTATTATATACTATTATATACTATTATTACTATTATATACTATTATATACTATTATATACTATTATATACTATTATATACTATTATATACTATTATATACTATTATATACTATTATATACTATTATTTACTATTATATACTATTATATACTATTATATACTATTATATACTATTATATACTATTATATACTATTATATACTATTA